TATATATTTTTATGCATTTTTGGAAAACAAGAGGGAAAACAATTTCATGAATTCTGGGATCCGACAGAGGATAAATAGAGCGACTTTCACTTAATAAAAAAAGTGTGGGTGGAGATTTAACCAGAAAAAACGGGACAATTCTTTTAAAGAGAAAGTTAGACAGTTTATTTGTCAACTTTGCATATGGTGACTTTCACTTGATAAAAGTGTCACTGGATTGTCATTCTCCTCGAAAAAGGACAATTATTGGGACAAATCTCTTCTCCTTTCGTTGTGAATCTTCAACTTGGCGATTGATTCTGTATTCTTTATTTACAAAGAGAATTTTCAATTTGATGTTCGATGTTTCTGAAACAAAGTGAAATTCCAAAGTCGGAATAAAGGCGATATAACAAGTGGTGGAGAAAGTGGAGGAGGAGGTGGAGGAAAGTTTTGGAGAGTGAAGGAAGAAGAGGAGTCAAGTTTTTTAAAGACGGAGACAACGGACGACATCAAAAGTGAAAGCGATACGATAAAAGTAATAGAAACAAAGTTTTCCCCCTTGTTTGTCCAACTTGGGAGTTTGTTTGGAAGAAATCTGAACCCTTTTTTGGAGGAGAGAGGGACTCTAAAAGAAGGGTTTCGTGACTTGGAGGAGTTGATACATTTCTTGCAGTGGGAAAAACGAAATGCAAGAAATGGAATGGACAAGAAAGTGCAAGAAATGTGCGGTATGTAGCCACGCGCCGAATGAATGAATTTCTGGCAGACCAAATAAATGAAAAAAACAACTTTCTTGCAGTTATTTCTTGAAGACGGTTACGGGGCAGTCTTTAGTTTCTTGTGAGTTTAGTAGATTTCTTGTAATGTAAAATAAGCCAAGCAAGAAAATACAAGAAATATGCGCCATCTAGCGTAGGAGCTGAACGTAGGAGCTGGTTTCTTGCGCCGTGCATTTCTTGCAGGTCAAAATATTCACCTGCAAAGTAAGCAATGCAAGAAATGTGAGGTGCAAGAAACTATAAAAAAACTGCCAGAAATATGCGCGGCAAGGAGTAGTTTCTTGTGCCTTGCATTTCTCCCAGGTCAAAATATTCACCTGCAAGAAATCACTTTCTCCCCCTTATTTCTTGCAAGTGGTTACTAACGAAACCCTGTCTAAATTGCTTTAAGAAAAAAAGTGAAAGGTTGGCTCAACCAGAAAATGTCGCTTTACACAAAGAAAGAAGGACGAAGAGAAATTGTAACGTATTGTTTTGTTGTGAAAGGAAGGATCTTTTTTCTAATAAAAAACATCATCTCTTCTTTTTTGAAGATCATTATTTATTTTTTAATAATAAATCATGATTCAGACGAAAATAGGATGAAATAAAAGAAGGGAAAAATGTAAGAGGAAAAACTACATACTTTTGTTAAGAGTGAATGAAGTGGCGATTTGTTTGAGTGGATTTTAGCCGAGACGGATGGACGTATGGATTTTTTTGCGTGGTGAAAGTGCACTCTTGTGGGAAATCTGTTTTTAAGGAAAGAAAATATTTTATTTGCAAGGTGAAAGCAGCAAAGCGTTGGAAATTGTAAAGAGAAAAGAACGGAATTTACTGAAAATTGACAAAAATCAGGACATTTTTCTGCAGGAATGGAAGTTCTTTAAATCCCATGGGTTTTTATTCTGCATAAAATTGTATGCAGAGAAATTTTGCTGATTTGTTGTATAACGTTTCTGCAAAAATTCTACGCATTTGACTTTGCATAAAAATTGTGGTGAAAATTGGCGAAAATCAGGACATTTTTCTGCAGAAAAGACACTTTTTTTGAAATCCCGTGGGTTTTATTCTGTATTTTATGCAGAGATATTTTGCTGGTTTGTTGTGCAATGTTTCTGCAAAAATGCTACGAATTTCACTTTGCATAAAAATTGTGCCGATTTGGGCAAAATTATGAGTACAGAAAATATGCAATTTTTTAGCAGTTTGATTTTTATACGGTTTTATTCTGTGTTAAACTTTATGCAGAAGAATTGTGCAGACTTCTGTAGAATTTGTGAGTGCAAAAAAATTGGCAATTTTTTAGCAGTTTGATTTTCATACGGGTTTTTGTTCTGAATAAAAGTTTATACCGTACAAAATATGCCTATTTGTTGTTCAGATTCAAAAGAAACAAAAAAATCTTAAGCAGAAAAATGTGCAAATATTTAACAGTCCGATTTTCATACGTTCGTTGGACAATCAGAAAAAGTAGCACATCTTCTCAAACAACGGGAAAGAGTAGCACTTCCCCTCGAGTTGTTTGGATAAGAGAATTTTGAAGTGAATCTGATTGAAAAAAAGATAGAGATTGACATCTTTGACACTTTAAGTCCCGTTTTCTCTCTCCTCTCAAGACCACCACCGAAGCACGTTCAGTGGCCGCGGAAGGGTGTGGACAGAGGGACCATGTCCCCACTATTATTCGATGTCCACATTATCTTCCCGTCTTATATAAACCCCTGCATCCCCTTTCCTATAATGTTAATGTCCCCACAGCTTCCGCGGCCCCTGGCTACATATATAGCTGAATGCACAGTGGCCGCGGATCTGCGGGGTCAGGGGGACAATTCCGCCACATTTATTCGTTGTCCGCATCATGTCCCCATGTTATACAAACCCCGTACCCCCCCCCATCCTGCAATTTTAATGTACCCCGATGTCCCCACAGCTTCCCGCGGCCCCTGGCTACAAATGTAGTGGGATGCACAGTGGCCACGGAAACGTGGGGACAATTGAGCGACAATGTTCCCATGGTTTTTTAATGTCCCATGTTATATGTTTAAATACCTCCCTCCCTTATAATACAATGTTAACGTCCCAAGATGCTCCCACGGCTTCCGCGGCCACTGCCGGTACGACGTTGATTTTGCGAAAGAAAGCCTTTCTTCGTCTCTCTCGAGCCTGGAAGAAAACAAACATTTTTCTTCTCTCCCTAGAAATTTGGATGGAGTGATTTTTAGACGTTTTGATTTGATCGGAAATCAATTCTTTTCTTAGAAATAAAGTGATGTGATGTGGAAACGTGAATTTTTACAGGGTCGAATTTTATCCAGAGCTTACTAAAAATACATTTTTGTATACGTGCCCAACTCCGGTGTAAGACTGACGACAGACGTATTTTTCTTCAGCCTGGAGAGAAACTATAAAAGTGAAATGAAAACATTGCAAAAAACGTGTATACGTAATTGTGCCAAAATTTAATACGCAAATGTGGAGCAGAATTCAGTTTGTCAATTAGTTTGCTAATTAAGCAAAAAGTTTGCATAAACGAGCTATTTGCAGACTTTTTTGATATGATAAATTGACGATTGATCTAACTTTATTTGGTGAAATACATAAGTCATGCAAAAATCGGAGGAGAAAGTTGCGATTTTAATGATGCCCGTACGGATCGAGTAATGTACCTGTTGCTTGCATGTTTTTTGTGATTCTATGTGACGTAAAAATTTTGCAAGGTTATTTTTGCATTTGCAAAAATAGAAGGAAGGTCGCAAGTATCTTGGTGTGGTGCGTGTCGTAATAAGTAGGAAATTAGTGTTAAACAAGACTACTCCCGCTGTGAATTTATGTACGTACTGCGGGACAGGAAAAGTGCAGTAAGTAAGCAAAGTGGATACCGGATTGGAGTGGACTTTTGGTGTTTCGTGGTGATTTAGTATAGTTTTCGTGGACTTTCCCTGCTTTCTCTTTTTAGAAGGAAGAAGAACAAGATGGAGTCCATGATTCGAAGTATGTTTTGGCTGGATGAGTTGTTACTTGTATTTTATGGGTGTTCGTGTACTAACAAAAAGGATTGCGTGTTGTGGCCTGTTTTTTTTAGATTTTATTATATCAGTGTTTCCTTTCTGTTGGGTTTGTTACATAGAATTGATGCACTGCAAAGCCAGAAATGTGAGAAATGTGAGGTGCAAGAAAGTGGGAGAAAGTGCAAGAAATATGCGCCATCTCGCCACGCGCTATATGCATACCTGTTCAAAAATTAAGTTTTCATTCAAAAATCAGTCATCACGATTCCGGACTGAAGATTTTCATTCACATTTAGTCATTTTCTTTCAAATTAGTTTCATTTAACTTCATCGGACTTCATTTCTTACTTCGTCCCAGGTATTAAGCATAGGGTGAACAATGAAATGAATGAGAAATCCTTTCATTCACAGTCATTCATTTGAAATGACGGAATATTTCACTCATTTTCATTCAAATCACAGGAAATTAATTTTCATTCACTATCACTCACCATCATAATTAGTCAAATGAGTGAATGAATGAAAGTGAACAGGTACGACCGTATGATGAAAAGCGGAGGCGGGAAATAGTTTCTTGCACCTTATATTTCTTGCATCTGTTGCGGGTCAAAATTTTCAGCCGCAAGAAACAACTTTCTCCCCCTTATTTCTTGCAAGTGTTTCCTTGTCCCTATTTTTATTTTCTGGGTCTCTGGGATGGAGAGAAAGTTGAATTGTTTGTTGGGTCAGTTCGGTGGAGAGTCGATACAATAAATAAATATTGGACGGACAGGCAGGCCCAAGAATTGGGGAAATGGGTGAACTTTTTTTTAGCTGGGTGGAATTGATCGAGGTTACTTTCCCCAAATGGGAAAGTATAATATTTTAGTAAATTACAGGGTACGAGGAGGTTGAATTATACAACGTGTTTTTCTTTTCTCGCCAGAGAGAGAAATTGCGAACTACTGAATTATTTATGGGAATAAAATTGCAGGGAATTTTCTTTTTCTGAGGAGAAGATAGTAGATGTGCAGGTTTTTTAGGTTAATTCATTACGCAGATGGGATGATAAATATTTATTAGGGTATATTTATTTATTTTGGAATTTTTTTAAATTTAATTTTAAAATTTTTGAAAGGACGAGTTTGTAGATTTCACTATTTTTCACTTGATTTTTATACATTTTACCTATTAGTTTTATAATTTTTAAAAATTAAAGCTATTTGTTACTATTTTGAATGGAAAATTTGCAACAATTTGAATCAGAAATACCTTACAGGAAATAATTCAAAATAACAATTTTGCTAGAAAAAAGACATGTTTTTGCGTTTTTTTACTAAAAGTTTGTCAATTTTCCATCCTAAAACCACTATTTTTCATATACTTAACGCCAATTAATTATATTTCTTCTTCCTCCAACTACATATATCACTGTAATAACTGTTGTAGTGATTGATATCACGTAGTGTGTGCAGTCCCATATTTTCAAAGTGCATGCGCACAATGAAAAAGTAAGAAGGAGCCCGACTTGCCACGTCGCGGGTCCGGTAATCTTCACTGTTGATTTCATGGTAGTGTTGTGCTGTCGCCATCTTAGCCCGTGAAAAATTGTAATTTTTTAAAGAAGATTTCCAGTTTCTTTTTCAACATAAGAGGTCCCATTCGGTCACCAGGTAAGTCTAGAGTAATTCCCATGAATTGAGGGTATTTTTATTTAGAAAATATAATTAATTGTGAAGAATTAAACAAAATAACTCCGAGCCACCTTGAAAAGGTGACGGAGACGTGGTGTCCCGCGCTGGCCCACATTAATTTTAATTTCCGATGTTTTTTGGTTTTAACAGCCAGGTCGGATTATAACGAGTTAAAAGGTCAAGTAGAATCAATGTCCATATTTATTGCGACGCAGCAAAAAGAGCTGGATTCTTTGAAAGAAGCAGTAGGGAAGAATGATATTCCTCAAGGACAGACTCCAAAGGACAAGGGTTGGTCACTTGGTCTCTCAGACGAGGAGGACAATTCTCAGGAGAAGGAATCTGAGAATTTTGCAAATATGTTTCAAGATAAACCACATGGTAATAATATTGCACGAAAAAATAAAATATAATTTTATCTCTAAGTTTAAAATCTAAGAATGAATTCATTAATTAGATGGTCAGGACGATAACGAGCTGGTAGAGATTATGAAAGATATTGAGGGCAGCATTGAATATGGTCCCGATCTGCTTCCACAAATCTCTGAGGGGTTTTCAAAAACAGTTAGTCGTCCTTTGACAAAGGAAACTGCCTCAAAACTCAAAGATCAGATAAAAATCCCGTCCAACTGCAAGGGTTTTGCTGTTCCGAAAATGAATTCTGAAATCTGGGCCCATTTACCTACGGGGGCAAGGCTGGCAGATATCCAAACTCAACAAGTTCAACAATCAATTAGCTTTGGTCTAATTACAATGGCCGAAATTGCAAATGAGGTTGCCACTCACTCAAATGAGATCCCTCAAGAGGTGAAGAAAAGGATTTTGAAATTAGCTATTGATGGAGGAAATATTTTGGGCGATCAGCTGCAGGCGAGCAATATGAAACGCCGTCAGGAAGTGAAAAAATTAATTAATCCAGAGTACAGTGCAATTTGCAACAAACAGGTGATTATTATTATTTATTTACTCAATATGTTACATCGTCATAATATTCTGCAATGAGAAATAATTGATAAACAGTTGCCAGTATCGGAATATCTTTTTGGTGACAATTTGAGCGAAACTTTAAAGACGTCAAAAGCAGCTTCAACTGTTATTCGATCGTCAATGACAAGGACTACTCGGTTCCGTCCATACAATTTCTCAAGAAATACCGGAAATTTAAACTTCCAACGCCCGTTCCCACGATTCCAGACTCATCGAGGGACGCAAGGGCAGTTTCGAGGTCAAACTCGGGGACAATTCAACCAGCGAGGATTCAACCGAGGAAATTATCCACAACGACAATTTCGACAACCATAAATCAAAATATTACAAATGAGAAGGCAGGTAGATTAAGATTTTATGTAGAAAATTGGAAAACTATAACTTCTGATGATTTTGTACTTAAGGCTATTTCGGGCTATAAATTAATATTTAATCACACACCTAGTCAGGCCAAAGAACCTAATATCCCTAAAATGAATGAAGTTGAATCAGGTTATATTGATTCATGTATTAATGAGATGGTTAGCAGTGGAGTTATTCAAATCTCTAAAGAAGAGGAAGGTCAATTTTTATCTAGCATTTTCACAGTTCCTAAACCAGACGGTTCTCGTAGGTTTGTTCTTAATTTAAAACTTTTAAATAATTTTATTCTGGTTGATCATTTCAAAATGGAAGATATAAGAACTGCACTCGCATTAGTGACACCAAACTGTTATTTTACCGTTGTTGACCAGAAAGATGCTTATTACATGATTCCAATGCATAAGAGTTCTAGGAAATTTTTGAAATTTCGGTGGAAAAGTATTCTATATGAATACTTATGTCTTCCATTTGGATTGTCATTAGCACCATGGCTATACACAAAGGTTTTAAAACCTGTTCTGGCTTATTTGCGATCCAGACTTATAGTTAACGTATCATATCTCGATGATTTGCTAACAGTAGGAGAAACATATGCAGAATGTCAAAGGGCTACTCAGATAACAATTTCATTACTTAAATTCTTGGGTTTGTCAATTAATGATGAAAAATCAAGATTGATTCCTTGCCAGAGAGTAAAATTCTTAGGTTTCTTAATAGATTCAGAATCAATGGAAATATCTTTACCGGACAAAAAGAAAACACGAGTATTAGAAAAATGTCAGGGTGTCATAAATATGAGTTCTGTTCCTCTTCAAAATTTAGCTGAGTTGATTGGTACATTAATATCATCGTGTCCGGGAGTAGAATATGGCCAAGTATACACTAGAAAGTTAGAAATGGAGAAAATTGATGGCCTTTTTATCTCAAATCAGAATTATAATCACAAGGTCACCATTTCTGATGAAGGAGTCCAGCAGATTTAAATTGGTGGATAAAGAATATTTCTCATTCTAGAAAGAAAATCAGGCAGGAAGCATATTTTTTAACCTTAACAACAGATGCATCTCTAACTGGCTGGGGTGCAACGACAGCAAGAAGATCAACTAGGGGTCATTGGAATTTCAATGAGGCTAAAAGGCATATTAACGAACTAGAGTTACTTGCAATTTATAATGCATTGCTGGCGTTGGTAGATTTTACAGATAAATCAGTTCTTATTAGGTCAGACAGCACCACTGCAATATCGTACATAAATAAATATGGGGGCTGCAGATCCTATCAATGTCAGGAGCTTGCAAAAATTATATGGCAGTGGTGTGAAAAGAGAAGAATTATAATATTTGCTTCTTACATTAGCACAAAGGATAATATTGTTGCTGATTCACTTTCACGTTTGGATATCGATAGTTATGATTTTAAATTAGGGGACAAATATTTTTATAATATTTGTAACAAATTAGGTAGCCCCGTAATTGATCTCTTTGCCTCCAATAAAACAAATCAATGTGCTCGCTTCGTTTCTTGGTTCCCTTGTCCGGACGCTGAATGGGTGGACGCATTTACTAAACCATAGGGAGAATTCTTTTTTGCATTTCCTCCCTTTAAATTACTCACTCGAGTTTTAAAGAAAATCAGGGAAGAGCATTGCCAGGGTATTGTAGTTGCCCCAAATTGGCCAAACCAACCGTGGTTTCCATTATTTCATAACTTAAAGATTTCAAAAATAATTATTATGAAACCTGCTAACGATCTTCTTTTTTGTCCATATTCTAATAGGAGTCATCCACTGAGTTTCAAGACAACATTAATGGCAGCACTATTGTCAGCCAATCATTTAAAATATTGAATCTGCCAGATAACGTCATTTCAATTCTAAAGTCATCATGTAGTGCCAGTACTTGGAAACAGTATGAATCTTCTCTTAAAAAGTGGATATCGTTATGTAATGTTATGAAATGGAATGTATATGATAATGAATTGTCAAAATATTTGTCGTTCTTAGCTAACATGTACGAGTCAGGTTTAAGTTATGCTTCTATAAACACTGCTAGATCAGCTTTGTCAGCAGTTTTTCCCGATATTGATAATTGTAAAATAGGCGAACATAGGTTAATTACTCAGTTTATGAAGGGTATTAGTAAGTTAAGACCGCCCACACCTAAATATTCATTAACATGGGATTCCAGTAAAATGCTCGATGTGTTGAAATCATTAGATAGTGAAATAATTCCATTACGAGAGTTGACTCTTAAGGTATTAGCATTATTAGCGTTAGTTACGGCTCAAAGAGCACAAGTGTTTTCACAAATACAGATACACGACATTTTATGGGGAGATCCAATTCAAATCAAGATTCCTTCAATTCTAAAAACAACTACGATAAAAAATCCGAATCCAATTTTAATCATCCCTTCTTTCGAGAACAAAAGTTTGTGTCCGATTTTCAATTTGAAAATGTATGTAGAAAAAACTAAAATATTGAGAGGAGAAAGTGCTAATTTATTCATATCTTTTGTTTCTCCATACAAACCGGTCACATCTCAGACCATTAGCAAATGGTTATGTAAAACTTTAGATATGGCTGGAGTTGATTCAAGTATTTATACAGGTCACAGTTTTAGGCACGCTGCGACCTCAAAGGCATCAAGTCGTGGGGTAAATGTTGATGCCATTTTTCAAAGAGTTGGCTGGAGCAATCGTTCAAATGTATTTGCTAAACATTACAATAAGAAAATAGATGATAGAACCACTTTTGCAAATTCTTTGCTAAGTAATTAAATTAAAATAATGATATAATATTTAAGTTTGTATTTACATATGTAACAGGTCAAGGATGCACAGCAAATTATTTGGTAGTAAAAACTGTTTAAACAAGTTACATATTTGTTCGGTTTTTTATTTTTTCGAATTTCATATTTACTTTAAACAACTACAACAGTTATTACAGTGATATATGTAGTTGGAGGAAGAAGAAATATAATTGTGGATTTTGCGAGGGCGGCCGTAGGCCGCGTGAAGCAAAATCAAGATTATATGATTCTTCCGGAAACGGAATATATCACTGCCCTCCATCCCTCCCCCACTAATTAAAATATGAAATTCGGTGACTTTGAAATAGTGAAGATTACCGGACCCGCGACGTGGCAAGTAGGGCTCCTTCTTCTTACTTTTTCATTGTGCGCATGCACTTTGAAAATATGGGACTGCACACACTACGTGATATCAATCACTACAACAGTTATTACAGTGATATATTCCGTTTCCGGAAGAATCATATAATCTTGATTTTGCTTCACGCGGCCTACGGCCGCCCTCGCAAAATCCACAATTATTGAGTGGGAAATTGTTTTGCAGGGTTTTACACATTAATAAAAGGATTTCAATATATTTTGTATTTTCGATTTGCCAATACGCCAATCTGTAAATTATTAATGACTAATTTAAAAATTCAAAGTTTTGTAAAACGGCGTGGAAATCATTCGTTAAATACTTTTTCCATTATCAAAATTGTTTATGGGACGTGTTATTTTGTGAATGCCGTTTAAGTTCGACTCAAAAAGTTACGAATTTCCTGGAAGATAAGTGCGTGAAATGATATCCATCAAATTTGGCGGATAAAAATGCGTACTTTCTTACTTTCACTGCAAATTAATAACAGAATTGTGCATTTACATAAAATGAACTTTTTGGTATTTTTGTGGAAAGCTGCATAATATTTTTCTTCAGAAATTTTGGAATTTTCCATATATCGACAAACGTTAAAAAGTAGATCATTAGAGTTTTTCGTCAAAAAGTGGAAACTGATTGAAATTAGAAATCATGTTTTATATGAAATCATTATAATTTTAAGTGTTTTCATGAAATCAAAATTGTGTCCAAGAGAGATTTCATTTCAAAACCAGAATTTTGATTTTTTAAATAGGAAATGATTTACTGAATTTTATTGTTCTGCTTTCTGCAAAGATGGTATTGATTTTTTGTTTTTTTTTCAAAAAAACTTTGAAACCGGTTGAAATATTTTGTGTTTTATGCATAGGAAATCACCAAAATTTTAGGTTTAATTATGAAATCTACATCGTACCCAAAAGAAATTTTATTTACAATTCAAAATTTTATAAATTTTATGAAAAATAAGAAGTGAATTACTGAAATTTATTGTTTTTTTGCAGAGATGGCAGGAGGGGGTCAGAACTGGAGTGGGGGTGGCGGCGGCGGCGGCGGCGGTGGCGGGAAGGATGCCGCCGATCAAAACTTTGACTACATGTTTAAACTACTGATAATCGGGAACAGCTCGGTCGGAAAAGTATGCAAATTTACAAAGTTTTACTTATTCAATTTTTTAAAATTCAGATTTAATAAAATTACGATAAAAAATATTTTTCGTTTTTAAGACTTCCTTCCTCTTCCGATATGCGGACGGTAAATGAATTTATGATTAATGCAACAATTCACGGAATGCTTGGTAACTTTGTAAAACCCGTAAAATAATTTTACAAAATAAAAAAGAAGCCGATCAAGTTTATCAAGGAAAATTTGTGAGCCATTTTTCTTAAGAAATATTTATTAAAGTTTGTAAAATTTTGGAAGTTTATGAAATTTATGGATTTTAGAAGGTTACCAATGTCTTCGTGAATGCACTAAATTACATTTAGGCGTGTAATGAAGGCGTGTAATGATGTGATTCAATATCTGTAGATTCGTTCACGTCTGCATTCGTCTCCACGGTGGGGATCGACTTTAAGGTGAAAACTGTGTTTCGCCAAGACAAACGAGTCAAACTGCAGATTTGGTAAGGATTTAGGTTCAATATTTTAAATTGAAATTTTTATGGATATTGAAACATTTGATAATTTTTTTTGCAGGGACACAGCTGGGCAAGAGAGGTATGAAAATATTGAATTTGACATGCATTAAAAGGGATTTTATTCCGTATGAAAATAAATCTTGGGACAATTCGTCGTTTTTTTTGTATAAAATGAAGTACGGAATTTTCCAAATTTTGTCACGTAAAATCTAAAAATTTTCAGTTTTTCCGTATAATTGGGGGTATTCACGTAAACTTCGTAAACGCCAACATATCTTCGCAACTTTGCAATCTTTGGGTAGATTTTGAACTGGGCAGCGAAATAGAATATTTGATGGTTTTGCGAAATATGTATGCGACAGAAAAATGCTTTTAATTACGTCGTAAATTATTTTTTGCAAACTCGTCGACAAGTGAATTTTTATTTTTCGCAAATTCGTCGCCAAGTGAATTTTTATTTTTCGCAAATTCGTCGCCAAGTGAATTTTTATTTCACGACACCCATGTCGCAGACACTGCAAAGTTGCGAAGATAGATGTAACGTTTTTTTGAGTGATTTGAATACCCATAGTGCAAAAAATTAAAATTGTGTATAATTGAAATGAATTGAGGTTTATTAAACTGAGCATCAACATGTGATGCACGTAATAATGACCAAGATTAACTAATTAATTACTTAAGTTTTAAGAAATTTTGTGACGAAGTTTTCAGAAATTTTGATAGGTTGATTTTCATACGAGATTAAATCCAGATTTTTATAAGTTGGCCTTTCAAGATTGGGTCTGAATTTTGAAAATACGCAGGTATCGGACTATCACCACTGCCTACTACCGCGGAGCGATGGGATTCATTCTCATGTACGATATCACCAACGAAGAATCCTTCAACAGTGTTCAAGACTGGTGAGGAATACGCATTTTTAATTATTAATCACAGGGCGGATATGCATTTACGAAAATCTGCATTTAATATTTAATTCAATTTTAGTTTGGATTATTTATAAATCCTTTTTCTAAGTCACTCGGGAGCATAAACGAACATTTCGCATAGTGCTTTGCAAGGCCTAAACCAAATCTCTCTTATCATCATTTTATATTAAAAAGCCACAATATTTACATAAGGATATGAACATTCGCAAATTAAGTTTCGCAAAATTTCTATCTTTGTATATTTAATATGCTGAGTTTTTTGTGGTCCAATTCTTCTGAGGGGAAAAAAATTCGTGTCATTCACACCTTTGAAATATTTAGTAAATATGTACGCACATATTTTTGAAACAAGTATTTCTCAAATAATAGCAGAAATATTTCTAAATATTTATACATCTGAAAACCTAAAAATGTATGAAAAAAATATTTTGAAATTTTTGAAAGATTAAAATTTTGACGATCGCTCATCACCGATAAATAAATATCCGCCCCTGTTAATTGTTACGCATTAATTACGAATTTATTACAATTCAGGACTTAAATTACCCTCCTGTTTTTTAGGGTAACACAAATTAAGACGTATTCCTGGGACAATGCGCAGGTCATTTTGGTCGGTAAGCGCAAATAACAATTTGTAAAATAATGTTTTGCACGTGTTTAGCACATGTAATTTATTAATTGTTTTTTTCTTCAGGGAATAAATGTGACATGGAGGACGAGAGAATAATTTCGTACGAGCGTGGGAAGCAGTTGGCAGACCAATTAGGGGTTGAATTTTTCGAAACCTCGGCCAAGGAGAATATCAACGTGAAAGCGGTCTTTGAACGTTTGGTGGACATAATTTGCGACAAAATGTCCGAATCGCTCGACTCTGATCCAAACCTTGCCAATTCCGCGAAGGGACAACGACTAACGGACGCCGGCCCAGGAAATCCTGCCAACGGCTCCTGTCAATGCTAATAGATTTATGACGTTAAAATATGAATGACAAAATTGTGTGGTGATTTTTTTTTTGGTGGTTCGAATTTTTGGCGTTTTTTGACGTATTTTTGGGGGTTTTTGTTCTCGTCAATTTTGCGACATTTGTGTTATCTCACTTTTTTTGCTATCGTATAGATACAATTATGAAAAAGTGTAACACGTGCACGTGTAATATTTTAATTTTGAGCGTAATATTTTTCGGAAGTATTTTTGGACTTTTTTTCAAAATTATTTTTTGTCGTATTTTTTGATTTTTGTCCATAATTCAGTTTTTTTGTGGTTTTGAGAAACTGCAAAAAAATGAGATAACGCCTATTCATTTGTTCCTTTCAGTAGCAGTTTGGTAAAATTTGATGTTTTAAAAGATATTTCAAAATTCAAAATTTTCGTCAAAATTTGTTAACCAATCAAAAACCATAAAAAATTTTAATGTTTTGTTTTTATATTTTGTTTTTTAACGAGATAATTTATTAATTATTACGTGATTAAAGAAGGAAAGATAGCCACACATTTTACACCACTTCTTCTCCTTCACCCTGATTAAAATGACCCCCGATTAAAAATTCGTATACCCCCCAAGAAAAGGCAACACTGTGTAGACAACTGATATTCAATATCTTCTACCGTAAAACTTGTACTTACGACTTGTACTTATACTTACTACTCAAAATTCAACTAATTAATTGTAATTAACTAGATTGATTAATTAATTAAGTGATAAGAAAAATTGCGACAAAACACAACCACCTATTCTGTGACGGTCATGATACACATTTGACTTCAAAATAATTCAGAAAAATTGGGTCATTTATTAATATAGATTAAAAATTATGATTAAAAAATATACAATGAACAATCCTTCCTAAAATTATGGATTCAAAAAGTTAGCAGATATCCAAAATTGATTTTTTATTATCTTTACAACAATTTTTTATTTACACCAAAATATATCCAATTAATACCATACCATATTTTCGAAACGCTTCCAAAAAAATGAAAACTTGTTAAATCAACAATTCTGAGATTACTCTCGATTACACACTTTTTTCTTGTATTTTCTTATTTGAAATGTTATATTCTACTAGAAACTATGCATCATCAAACTTGTATTTGGGTAGATGGAAGAGCCATTAAACAGATGTAATTGTACCAATCAACTTGTAATTAGGGTAAGTAAATTAATATGCAAATATTCAGTAATTAAATAGTGTATAAAAGGATATGTAATATACGACAGAGAAGAAAAAAGTATGTAGAGGAAAATTTCCCGTTTTGAAGAAAAATCAAAAAACTCGGCGTTACAGGACAATGATCATGTACTTACCGTGTAGATACTTACTTACATAGGTCAATTTAGCTAGTAATTTAGTCATACCCTGTACATTTTAATGTAGACAGAAAGAGTGTAAAAAAGGGTGCGTGGAAAGCATCATAATTCAAATTATGATGTAAATTTTGGTGATTTTTCGAAACGTTGAAGGAATAGGAAATCAAATTTTTGTGCGATGGCGGCGACGCGTCTTGATTCACACTCTTAGAAATGGGGTTACGATTATAACCAAAAAGTAAACGTATGTGACTCTACCGCCGTGGTTATGAATTTGTCATCCAGTGGTTACAATTGTTACCAACCAATTATAATTGGATTAAATTGTCTCCAGAGCTAATAAATGTATAACCAGCTGGTTGCAAATTCATAACCACGGCGGTAGAATCATATACGTTTACATTTTGGTAGTAATCATACCCAATTTCTAAGAGTGCACATTTAGCAAAACTTGTATGATCCCAGCACCAAATTAAAATTATGTGAAGAATGCACACACACACACATTTTTAGTATGGAAGAAAGTAGTAAAATATTGGGTGAAATTAAAAAAAGATTGTAGAAAAATAGCAAGGTTTTTAGGAAGGAAGCGTGGGTACCAATTTTTGGTGCGAAAATTAGCACGTGGACGGCGCAAAGAATTTCTGATTAGAAGAAAAAAAACACTGAATCTTACAAAAACTGTACTCAATTTTTCGTTTTTGTTTATTCTTATTTTTTGACGAATTATCTATGTAAATATGTACACCATGAGAATGTGTAATTAAAATTGTGCGTGTGGTGGTGGTGACACTAATGACACTAATTAATTAAAATTATAGTTCTATTAAGAGAATAGGTGCATGAAATCTGTAAATGCATAAACTTCTCTCGTCATGATAATTATGTAATTGTGGATTAATTAATGTATGTTAATTAACTAATTACATTTTACGGAATAAAATAAATCTATTTAAAAAATGAAGAGACTAAACTGTACCGAAATTTCATTCAATTTTGCTAAACTTTTAATTTCTCTCGTCCAATTGCGAATTAATTAATTAACCGATTACACTGAAAATAATGCGGGTACGATAACCAGAAAGTAAGCAAATTATTACTGCCATGACATACTTATAAATAAATTACTCATCTACTGGTTATAAATTCGTTACCAGTGTTGATAAATTTATAATTATGGCGGTGAAGTTATACATACTTCTGCAATTTCTTTTTATAATCGTAACCGCGTTATTTTCTGCACTCAAAATAAGGTAGTAATGAATCATTACCACGCGGAATGACTATGTGGCTCTACCACGTCGGTTACGATTTGTCGTAGAAATGGTAACAATAATTTCAGGGAAATTCAAATTCATTACCAAATATTAAGGAAGTGAACACCATTATGTATTAAATTTGAAATTCCCTGAACTTATTATTACCATTTCTACGACAAATCGTAACCGACGTGGTACAGCCACATAGTCATTCCGCGTGGTAATGATTCATTACTACCTTATTTTGAGTGTGTGTATAATTTTCCAAATAAATCTACATATTAAACAAATCCGGTGACCAAATTGTAACAAAATTTTAGTAAAATTTGCTAAATTGTATTGACTTTTAAATTAGTGAAAGTGTTTTTTTTTCTTAAGAATACAATACAAGAAAAGAACAATCGATTGAAAAGTTGCGAAAAACGACAATGATTTACACGACTTTTGTCGTCCACCTACACGGTCGTGACATTCGTGTCGGCATTGTCGTCAGTGAGACAATGACTGACGTATGTCACGTGACATGTCATAATCCTTTCGAATTTTGTGTGTAAAATGCAATTTGCTTCATTTAAAATCGTCTCACGTAACTAAAACAAAAACAAAAAAGGAGCAAAATAGTTCCGTAATTTATTGTTATGATTCGATTTCATCATTATTATAAACAGAGAAAAACAGAAAGAATAGGATTGGATTGGATTTGGATGGATGGCTGTTTGGTGATTAAAACCTCAAACCTGATCCAATCCGGTCGGTCGTTCATCTCGCTTCGTCATCTTACTTCTTAGCCTATCTTCATTTTCATCATTTATTATGAAGAAGAAGACTTGTATGTTTGTAAAAAAAGGTTTTTATTACGATTACAAGGTTACAGTTATCGGGTTGAAGAATACTTGAAAACCAGGAGCAGGAGCAGCTTATTAAACAAAACGGGTCAAGTCATGTGTGCATGAATGTAAGCTTAATTTTTGTGTTGTCTTTGAAAGGAGGAGAGGATTTGGATTAGGATTTATGTTTTTAATGCGGGTTGAGAGATCTCGTAATTCAATTAGGTTTAAGTGATGGGACGACAAGAGGAAGTCGTTGAGGTGGGTTGGAGAGGCTACTCTGTTTATGTAGTTCGGGTGTATGTAGTGGGACTTATGTATCCGTGATGTATGTCTGTCCGTCTTGCGATAACTCTACTTTAACACTTATCCTATCATTTTTGTATAGACAACACACAAATCAAATTCAAAGATGGGCAAAATCGGGTGAGTGGTTGACCGGTAGTGGTCACATTAGTGGTGTTTTCATTATCATAATATTACTGACTGGTAATGCCGATTATTACCATGCCAGTAGTAGAGTCACATATGTATGTATATATTCTGTTCAGTAATGATTTAATACCAGATTTCTAAGAGTGAAGAGTAACATATACTGCGTACTGTATAGATTTGGTATTAAAATTCTATATACCCGACTGGTACTAGTTCTCCGTGGTGAATTTTTCATTACCACAAAATTACTAAACGGTAATATTCGTTGTTACCAAGTTGATAATTACATATGTACTCGGGCCAGTAACGATTTAATCATGTTTCTCACGAGTTCATCTTAAATCCTGGGACGGGCTCCGCGAAGGTGAGTACTGAGACGTTATTTTAAAAGGTGGATAAAGTCGTCTGGCGACTGTGTGTGTATAGTAAAAATGGTTGTCGCAGAATTTGCATATGCAAATATTTCTGTACATATATAGTCGAGATTGAGGAGAGAAAAATGTCAAGTTTAAGGGTTTGCACGACTGGTTAGTCATGTCTTAATTCGGGCAGGATTTTTTTTAATTCTTCGTCCTCCGCAAATTTTATGCAATTATTATCGAAATTGTTAAACTGGATTGAATCGAGATAAACAAAACGGATTTGTTATAGAAGGTTGGAAAGGTCGCGTCGGTTTGCGAATTTCGTTTCATCATTATTCGCAAAAAATAAATTATGATGTTCAAAAATTGACAGTGTGTGGACTTCCAGGAACATGTGTGGCACACCTATTACAATTTATCTATTATAATTTTTTACTTATTTCTTATATTTGGCGTTAAAATCTGGCATATAAAAAAAATACTCAACGGTTTTTGCAAAAGTTGATTATTAGAATTTATTTTTGCGCAGGAAATAGTGAAAAATAACTTATTAGAGGTTTGCGAATCTCAGGTAATCATGCCACGCGAAAACGAAATGGTGAAGTGCACAAATTGGCAATGTATTTTCCAGGAAATAAATGGCATACATATTTTATTATTTGGAGATAATAATTTATATTTTATTTGCTATATTTAGCGTTAAAATTTCATATTTCTCATATCAAAAAATAAATATTATCGCGGTAAAAGTTAGTTATTTAATAGAATTTATTTTGATGCCTCATTTATTTCAGTGAAGGAAATAGTACAAAATAAATCCCACGTAATTATGCCTCGCGATAAATTAATTTAGAGATACAAAAATTGCAATTTTGAGTAGGAAGTTTCCTGGAAATGAAAGATAAATATAAACCTGAAGCATTTAACGAGACTAATTTATTTTTATTTTTATTAATAATTTACTTTAAAATTTCGCAATTTTGGGTGTCCTTTGTCGATAAATGTTAATACTTTGAATTTTATTTATGTCTGATTTATGTGGGGCAGAAAATTGTGAAAAATCAGTTCAAAATGAAATATGTAAGTTTAGGAATTTGGCAAATGATGCAACAAACAGAGCTCACCTTTTAAAAGTATATGATGATAATTTATTTTAATTTTACAATTTAGCATTCATATTAACCAAATTTGAAAATAAAATCGCGAATTTTAACTTTTTGGCAAATTCTAGCAAAAAAAATATTGCAAAAATAAATTAAAAATATGTATTTAATTATTAGAATTAATTACATATGAGAAACAAATGGTGAAAAATATTTTCAAAATAAAATTCAAAATTTGAGAATTTAACAAGACTTTCAAACCTAGACCCCTTTGGTTGGTAATAGTAATGTATTCTTATTTTACAATTTGGCATTCATGTCGAGCAAATTGTAAAATCAAATTGTGACAAATCTGCACAGCAAAAAAATCCTCGCAAAAATTACAAATATATTTGAATTTATTTTTGTATTTCATATTTTGCCTTTACGTGGTACATGTAATTCATGTAAATTGTTTAAAATAAATGAGTGCAAATATAGCGAAAATAGAGTGAAAAAGTTGAAAATGTTCGGAAATGAGAAAAATAAATTTCACTTTATAAGTGTTTAAGGATAGTAAATGAATTTTTATTTTATAATTTGACATCCATGACAAAATTGTAAATATGACAAAAATTCAATTTTGAAAATTTCGAAAATCCAAAAAAAATTCATTTTTCATAAGTCTTTAATAATTGAAAACTTATTCTCATTTCATATGCCTGAATTTTCCAAAGCTCAAGCAGCTACCTGTTATAAATGTTTCAAAATAATATTTTATTTTATTTTTTATTATTTGACGTTACTGTTAAACGAATTTCAAGCTAAAAGATTTAAGAATTTTCAGAATTCGAATAAAAGAAAAAACATTAATATAAAAAGATAAATTCCAAATATGTATATGATTATTAAATTATGCAAATAGAGGCAATTCACGTCAGCCTTCGTAACTTCGTGACCATGTAAACTTATCAAGTTTACAAACTTTTGACGACACTTATGAACATCTCGAAGGCAATTTTTGCTTACGAACTTACAAACCTTTACGAAAAATACGAACACGTTACGTTTTTGCTTCGAAAACTGATCTTCATACGGATTTACGAAGAATGACGTGAATTGTCGCATTGTTTTTATTTATTATATTTCGTATTTATGTCGAGCAAATAGTGAAAAATAAATAAATTCAAAATAGAGTTTTAGAGTTTTAAAAAATTGATAATTTTTAGCGAGCGAGAAATTGCCTGTTATAAGTATTTAACTATAATAATGTTCTATATTTTACAATTTGGCGTCGAAATGAAAAAAAAAACATTGAGAATTTTTGAAAAACAAAATTTTGAGAAAAAAACTATAATTTTTTTGCATTAATGTGAACAAAATTACCAAAGCTAATCTGTTAAAGAAACTTAAGGTGGTAATTTAGTTTAATTTTTCATATTTGACGATCTTTCCAGTGCAAATTTCAACCTAAAAATTTTGATAATTCTGCACATGCAAAAAAAATCCAGATGTATATAATTCATGCGTGTGCATAAGTATTTAATTATTAGAATTTATTCTTATATGTATTTAATATTTTGTATATATGTCCAAAAAATGTCAAAATTTCAAAATACGGTCAAAAACAGTTCATAATTTTAGAAAATGCAATTGTCCCTGTTTTGCATGTTTGATTATAGTAATTTGATTATCGTAATTTGATTATAGTAATTTGTTTATATTTTACAAATCGGCGTTAAAATTAGAGATTAAAAATTTTGAGAATTTTTGTACATAAAGAAACCTCGTGACAAATAAATCACTTATATATTTCAAAATTAGAATTATTTTTTGATATCAAGTTAATGTGAATCAATTCCCAAAGATCAAAATTACGACCTGTGATAAATATTTTAGGAGCTGATTTATTTTAAGTTTTCATATCTGACGTCGCTGTAAATCAAATTGTAACGAAAAATGTTACATATTCTGCGTAGCAATATAAAACCTTAACCTC